CTCGATACCACCCTGTCCCCCGTGGAACTTCATGTATAAGCATTGTCTGCCCACCACACCTCAGTCAAAGGCTTTCGATCGAAAAACGGATTCGACAAAGTTGAGCAAGGCGAATGATCGGATCATGCAGCCATACTTCAAAGCTAGCTCCCTTGATCGGGAATCGTGACCTCAAGTCCACCCGACAAACGCCACGACGACGCTCGTCCCCTCATTCATCGTCCAGAACACCATGAATTGATCGAAATGAATTCACTTGGATCAAGGTATTGTCCCAAAAGGTCGCCTTTTGGAACGTTAAACCTGACAATTTTGTTAATTAGTACTGGATTCCGATTGACGATGTTATAAATGACCACCCAATCTTTAAATCTAACAAATTAATACAAGCAGGTAGTAGTCGGCCTACTAAGTTCAGCAAGAGAAGGCAATTCGCCAGTGAAGTATTATACATGTAAGGCCATAACATCTTGTTAGATGCTCTCGCCGTGGGGCAAACAACGCCAAGATCGTAGACAATGTAGGTAATTGATTGTCAGCATAAAAAATCGATTCTCAGACGTCTTACGAGGCCCTGGATCGTCCGAGGAACTCGATGCTGATAATTTTGCAAATTTGTGGATCAAATTTTCTTAAAGCAAATATCTATCTAATAATGATGAAAACGAGTCGCTTTTAGGCCTCGCTTAAAGCCGCTACTCACCATGAAAGCAACCGTGAAAACCAGGATTGCGTGTTATGCCGCGCCTCCCACCTTATCTACAACCTCGCAAATTCACACACTTGCCTCGTTGATCTTGTGTGGCCATATTTGAACTCTTGCCAAATGCAATCAGATCAGTTTGCAGTCGTAAATCTCATCGCCACAAAAAGTAGGGTGGCGGGGCAATCTGACCACAAGCACCAGCGCGCAGGGAAGCCAAACCTACCTGGCAAGCCTATGGCCGAAATATGCTCTCCACAGACGCAAGAACATTCGCTTTGGCGAGCTCGCACGCGAAGGCGACATTCCCACAACCACCAATCAGAACACCCAGCCGCCCGTTTTATCTGCTTAAAATGACCGAACCTACAAGCCCTGTTTAACTAGCTTCACCATTACGTGAGATAGCGAGAGTAACAAAGGCAGATTCCAGCACGCGCTGTGTGCATTTTGTACACACCTTGAACGCCGATGCGCTGCGTACAGCAGACCAAGAGAACCCATTGGACGCGAGTAACTTAGAAATGTGGCGACCTCACAAGTACTAGTATAACTCATATAGTTGACAAAAAACCAACTAGCAGTCCCAAACCGTCACCGGTAAGTTAGAGAAAAAAGCCGACTTCCAAAGGCGAGAAACTGCTGTCTTGAAAGTTCACTAACAAGGTCACCCCGAAGAAGGCGGTGGTAGAAGTCCAGGAAGTATATACATGCACCTTCGTGAACACAGAATGTTCAAGTAAGCAACGATATCAAGAATCTCAACAAAATGCAGATTGGGTTGAAGAAAGAAAAGTTAGGAAGGAACAAGAGACGGTGGAGACTCTCCACCTGGAGAAACGAGACATATATTTTAAGTTGTTGTGTGAGTTTGTGTATGAGTGTACCAATGGGGGCCACGAGATCGTCGATTGCTCGCAACCTAGAACTCCTCCGGCTCATCTGATTCAGGGGGCACGAATCCCTCCTACAAATCACAAAACGGACCTTTAACTTATCCTCAGCGAAGCACTCTCACACACACAAAGAAACTACGGCGCAAGCAGAATACAGATCACAGACACCCAGGTTATTGTGCGCCACACTGTTTGTAGAATGCTGCGGCAAGAAGTTAGGGCCAATAAATCATGTGACGACGCATCCGTCGGTTAGGTTACGCCTAGCGTCGAAACAAAGACACCGGCCCGTAAGTTAAACAATTGTAACACTTCGCTTGACCCGAGAATCGAGAAACAAGACATGCGCGCCAAAGTTACCCACTACGACGGAGTAAAACTGAGTTAGAGGTCAGACTGACTCATGGCTCAATGGTAATCCATCTCAGGATCATAATCACATGCAAAATTCACTTGCTGACTCGCATTAATACTTCGCTCCTAAATGATTACTGATCAAATGAACAACAGATTCGTGACAAACATTTGTTTAAAGAAACCAACTATCGGAAACTGATTGAATAGAAGTTAAGGGCATTTAACTCGTGAGTAACACCTGGTCGTCACTACCACCAGTTAAAAGGCGACGCCAAAACCCTAGGTAAAAACCTACTGGGACCTAGACAAGACCGAAAGTGGTGCTTTTTTACAAGACTAGAAACATCGACGAAAAAAATTTGAGACGTTTGCACGGTTCGAGACCCCGTGAGGTGGTATTTAGCGAAACCCACTCGAAGCCAAAGGCACCCAGGAAAAAAAGGGTTAACCCGCAGCGACAGCACAAGCGAGCATGCCCATGAGGCGCGACCAATTCCAAACAAAAATGTACGTAACACTGACTTTGGGCTGCGTAGCTTCCTTGGTCGAATCACCCTACAGTTTTCAATTGAAGGAATAGAGAGGAAAAGTGACATATGAGAAATTAATGTGGGAATTTCAATGACCTCTTCGGAGGGCACGCCACCACCTTTCCTTAGGATAAGTGCGAATCCGAAGACGCGGATCCAAAGTGCAAATATCCACCGGTAAACAATAATAAGATGCATTGAAATAAGTAGAGAATGACGCCGAACTCCCATATAGGCTAGTAATACCAAGAAGTCAGCAGTATGCACAAACTAGGTTGAATGTGTGATAAATGGGTGTTGAGAAGTGACTGTGCAAAACTCACCTCAGTTGCGTAGAGAATGTCGAGGAACTTCTTAGTCAAATCGTTTTCCCCTATTGATCGACACAAATCTTCAATGTCTCGAAGCTTGCTGAAGTAGAAGTCACGCTCCTGCATTAGACCCTCAATTGTTTTGTGATCCTCTTCAGCCTGTAAATAACCAATTTAGAGGCGACAATGAGCTCAATTCCCACCGAGTTCTGAGTCCAAAATGATGGGGAAAAACAATTGGGGTAAAATTGACTGACTTTTACCTGAATACTAAGGTTGTCGAGTTCCGCTCGAAGAGCGCTCAACTGCATTGAATCGCCAGCGCCCTGATGATTTTGACGGGAAGCAGAGGTGGGAGCGGGAACACAACTTCTGGTTGGGCCAATGTGTTTCGCAGCAGCTGAGAATAAGTAATACAGGTTAAGATTATGGTTTGACGTAAATACCAACTCGATCACCCCAAAATACGGCAGAAATTGGTAATTTTCGACGTCCAAGCCCACACACAAACATGCAAACGCATAAAAAATCTAGTAGACACCAGTATAATGTGTCCAGTACAGGTAGCATCGTGAAAAGGCTACTTATAAACTTGTGAAAATGGGAATTAGTTTAGGTCATGTGGAGTAGTAAGACTTGATCAGTCGGGGGTCAAAGCCTACATAGCGTAAGTGAACAAGCGAAAGGCTGATGAGTTCCAATACAAGAACCTGAAAAACAATAAAAACTTACACGCCCGCGACTCATTTGCTCTCACAGTCGTGGCGATGGCTGTTCGTGAAGGCGCTGGACGAGCCTTATTAGAAGGCTTTTCAGAACCCTTAATTTGTTCACCACCACGAGCTGCCAGAGCATCATAGGGTTGACCAGTGTAATTGGCATCATAAAAGCGTTTGAACCACTGAACAAATTCAAAATTATCCTGGTATTTCCCCTTAACAAGCTTCTCAATCGGGACTTCCTAAACCATCAAACAACTGATACAACCTTACTTTATCCACTCCTAACTTTTTAAAGATGGCTTGTAAGTGCTTAAAGTTTGCAATGTATTCATGCTCCAAGTTGGTATTGAACTTTATTTTCTTGAAGTTTAGTACACCAGGGAAGAGCATGTCCATCAGCTGACAATACGCGGCACCTGAAAATTACATCAACACATTAAGAAAAACCAGCAACGCCCACATCTAAATTAATTTAAAATGGATTTACCTGTGCACAGTTCCTCGATTTTGCCGTAGTTAGCTTCCAAGCATGTGTTTATCCAGTTAAGGATTTCGTGCCTGCTAAGATTGTCGGCCGTTTGGTTCGTACTATACACATTTGTAGCTTGGAGAGCCATTTTAAATCACTACACACTTCTGTATCTACAAGTACAAAAAGCTGCTTCTGAAGACCCCGGGGCGACGATCAGTAAAACAAACACAGAATTAACGGAACCAAACTTACACAAGTTTCTTCAAATTTTTGATGTAGCAACATTAAGAACATATTTTAGTGATAGTTATATCCTTCGCAAACCTTAAATAAAGATTTTTAGTCTCGGATGCTGCACTTATTCAGTTACTTCAAGGGCTATATAAATATCTTATAAATTAATCTTTGTGCACAATTTTTTTGGATAGTAATATATTTCACAGCCACTAAGCAACATTTAGTTATGTTTCAGTCATCCTTTTTATGATTTATTTCCATCCTTATTTATAGAAACCTTTGCTCGATTTATAAAATAGCACATTATTACACAACGCTAGTGAATTTTAAAGCACTTTTTGATACGTTTACTTATGATTACGTGAGCATATCTCTGACGTTGACTGAATACAGAAACAACTTGCTCGCTTAGTTCCAAATTCGTTCAAGCACTAAACACTAAATGTATCCATGACTTGGATAAACCTTTGTGGTGGTAACTCCATCCTAAAGAGTTTGCTTAGTGCATTTTAATTTATAAATTGACAGTGCAGTTTCTGTAACAATAAATATTTGAAATAAAATTTTGATTTCGCTTGACTGGCCTATTCTTCGATTGAAAATTTTTTTAATTTGAACACCCTGATCATTACATCGCGGTGACAGACGATAAAAATTAAAGTAAAACAAAAAGTTAAGTAGGATGGCAAGTTCTCCAAAGGTGAGCTTATTCATCATTATTCATGCATATTATAATTAACCTCCTAGTACGTCTTTCTTTCTTAGCACGCTTTTTTAACGTTTTAGAGGGGCCCCGAATCTATTATTCATTCATTTATTGGAAGAACATCTATATTCGCTTGGCTTTAGCGCATGCACTGGTACCACATGCACCCGAGAAAGCATCGTTATAAACCTAAAAATGACAAAAACTATCATGCCCATTATAATTGCCTTCATTTACTGTCATAAACGACTACAATGTTGTATTTGGACAGCATTTATTTGACAGGAAATGACATTTGTCAGTGTCCTTAACAAGCTTACCGAAGTTTTTTGTTGAACGGGACAATGTCTCATCTATTTTTCAAAAGCATAAATGTTTGACACTTTCCACGTCGTCATTGTTAAACAACATCTCACTAGATAAAATCGTGCGAATCAGTTCAGAGAGTATATCAAAATGGATACCATATCTTGAAAAGTTGATAATGTTCAAAAGCATCAAGCCTTTGAATGCTTCTACACCATATAACTTCTATTTACTGGACTAAGGTCTATTGTATACTTGATATTGCGATTTCCGGCAACAAATTTTCAAAACAGAAATCAATCGCATCAGCCTTGATTTGATTGGTTTTAGGTCTGGTTATAAAAATGCGTATTCGCTGCCTTAACGGATTGCTGTCGGCATGATAAAACAACGTTAAAACAGCGACCACGTGTCTTAATTTATCAATGTAAAGATTTATAGGTAACCTGTAAGGTGTAAGTAGAATATAGCTATGACATATGGCCTAAAACCACAAAATCGCAAGATTTTACAGAATGGCGTCCTGTGTTTTCGCAGAATAGCCCTGACCCAAGTATGATCGAAAGCGTTTCCGGAATTTTAAGGAAACAGCATCTTGTTACGCTTGCCCGTAACAATAGAGAAGACCACTCAAATAACGGTACCAGGTACCTCGCTGTGATCTAGAACCAACCTTCCCAGGCTAATACCAGAACGAGAACAGAGCTCGAGTAGGGAGCTTTATTCATTTGAGCCACGTGCAGAGAAGAAGTGAAATCGAAAGTAATTCGAAACTAATTCAAGTCAAGTTTGACCTTGACTTGATAAAAGCGTAACATAAGAAATGTAAATAAATTAATGTAAATAAAATCAGAAACTAATTTTGGGGAATCGTGGATTCCCAACACATCCTTCAACAAGTTATGTTGTATCCTTGAATTATAAATCCTTTTTTCTCTAATGAGTACCTATTCAATAGTTAAAGTCAAATCCAACTTACCAAAGGGATATCCCTAGAAATGGGATTTTTGTAAAGCTGTAAGTTAGGAAGATATCTTGGTTTTTTTTTAAAATTAAATAATCGATTGTCTGTAGATTCGTCACTTCACACTACACATAATTTTTGACAGCTACCAGAAAGATTTCACTAAGTTTATTTGGAGATTACTTTTATTTTTAATAAACTTTTGTAATCGGAGGATGAATTTTCCTGTCACCACGCAAGCCCATTTTTCGTTCATTCAGGAATTTCGGCCTAAACTGTTTGTCGTCACTCAAGGGCGTGTGTTAGTTTCTGTGTGCAAAATAGATATCTCCAACCAGAAAATTATTTGTAATAGCTGGTGCTTAAATCTTCGCACAAGCTGTTGCACTTTAAGTCAACTTCAACTATGCGAATCTTGGTGGAGGATGCTCAGCAGAAATTGTACGCTTCTCTCCGACGCATTCGGCCCTTTAACCTTTTGATTATCAATTTTATTTCGTAAAAATCAACATTTGTAGGTTTCCTAAAAAGTCAAAACCATAGCAAGAAAAAATGGAGGAAACGGTGTGGTCACAAAGCTTGTCGAATCCAGGGTAGATGAGGGTGTGAAGGCAGCGAAATAAACGACGGGGTTAAAGTGCTTCAGTGTAAGTCTCGTGCCAACGTCAGAAGCATCGAACGATGTAGTTTTAAGCTAACCCGCACACTCAAGTGCACGACTAAGGGATTGAGTTATGGTAACACCATCGCAACTTTTAAATACAAAAACTCAGCTTAGCTGTGTTGTTAACACAGCATGTAAGCTAATTTCGTGCTTTAATCATTACCAAGTGAATTGAGTCACGTACATTTGATCTGTTGCTGCTGCTGCCGATAATGATGATTATGTAATGAGATCATGCACCTGAAAAAAAATAATAAAACCTTTCCTTTTTACATTACAGAGTGTTGTCAGAAGGCAGGCAAGAAGTGAAATGGAACCAGGTCCAGAGTCAATAGTCGCTCAATTTTAGCCAAATTAAGTTGTTAAATATTTTGGTCAAAAGGTTCAATCATTCTCCTGTCGAGATAGGGCGACTTCTACCTGCTTGTAGTAACTTGCTAGGAGTGTTTAAAAGCAAGGATTCTCAAGTAAGATTTAAAGATTGAGTGGTCATTTATAGCATCGTCAATCGGAATCCAGTACTAATTAACAAAATTGTCAGGTTTAACGTTCCAAAAGGCGAGATTTTGGGACAATACCTTGATCCAAGTGAATTCATTTCGATCAATTCATGGTGTTCTGGACGATAAATCAGGGGCGAGTGTCGTCGTGGCGTTTGTTGGGTGGACTTGAGGACACGATTCCCGATCAAGGGAACTGGCTTTGAAGTGTGACTGCATGATCCGATCATTCGCCTCGCTCAACTTTGCCGAAGCCCGTTTTCAGATCGAAAGCCTTTGACTGAGGTGTGGTGGGCAGACAATGCTTATACATGAAGTTCCACGGGGGACAGGGTGGTATCGAGGTGGTTCGTCTGTCTGCACAGTAGTGCAATCTTTCCGACCGCTTTCATTATGCAAACAAGATCGTCTGGGCACTGTAGGGCTGCGTTCGGAGCGTTTACCAATGTACAGAGCAAGTGATCACGAGGTCATGTTTGATAAATGCTCCCAGATTCTCTCTGCTGTGGAATCTGACGTGGATTTCGCAAAGAAAACTGGATTCGGTATAAATGCAAAAGGTACAATGAAGGCAGTGATCAAGGGGAGTACAATCATTTGGGACAAAAACTGTCTGACTTGTTAGTTAGGAACTTGTGTTTGCGTTTGGGATAACGAATTGTGCCGCGGGAATGCCAGAGATGAGTAATCGATGACTAACAAGTGAGTCGCGTGTAGTTGGGGGTAAAATCGTTTTACCAGACAGCAAGAGCATTAAACTGCCGATTTCGTGATAACTTGACTGAACGTCCCATTCACCACTTGAACTCAGCAGGCTCGTTCGAGCATTTGCCATAACCACAATTGTCAATCTGTCAGGGCGGATCGGTGTCTACGTTTTGCTACAAACCAGATTTATTTAACGCGGTTCAGAGCACTCCATTCAAAGTTCAACTTGGAGAGAGCATTCGAGTCCATGATCACCCACCTTCGGTTTGTGATTGCGAACTGGACGCAAGCTCAGCTGCTCGACGTGTAGGTCGGTCGGTCGGATCGTCTAGCCAACAAATGGGAACGTGAAGATGTGATTTAGAATCAGCCTGGCAAAGAACTGGAAATATTCAACTCGGAGGTACCAAATGTGCCTGATCGTTAGTTCGACGGTGGCTGCAAACTTACAAGAGAAAGACATTGTGTGGATTCTCATGACCAGGCATGATTCCGTCGTGGTAACACGTTCCTTGTCGTCTGTGGTCGAGTTTCATTATTGTCGTTAACAGCAGAAGTCCGCTTTTTTCACCTTCTCACCTGTGTCC